TTGTGTGAGGGAAACGCCGCACCGAGCTCCCTGACCTGTTGCATCCTCCCAGGCTTTTCAAGTGCGAGAGTTGGATTTCCTGAAATTGTTGAACTGGATGTAAGTGCAGGCGCCCCCTCTCCCCTTCTCCCCCCTCTCGAGCCGGGTGAGAGTGCGATGGAGGGAGGAGGTGGGGGCCTCGCAGGGAGGCTGAAGCGATGAACACTGGACAGGAAAAGTGGGAGGAGGAGGCGGCGGGGGAGGAGGCCGCGAGACGAGCGAGGAGGGAAACGTGTCACCCGCCGGGCTCCGGGAGCTGCGCGGCCGCCCGGTTGGCTGACTCGCGCTGGAGACGACTGGAGGCTGGACGGGACCCCGCGGAGGGCAGCGCTGGGAGCGCGCGCAGGGGGAGCCGGGCAGAGCGCGCCGGGGGGCCCCCCACGTCCCGCGCTTCCCTCGGGTGAGAAAACTCGGGCACAGCGGAAACTTTTCCCCGGGCGCGCGCCTGGGCGGGAGGCGAGCTGCGGGTGTGCGCGACCCGCAGTGACTCACTCGCGGACCCCAAGAGGGAGAGTGGGGAAGCCTCCGGGAGGGGCCGGAGTCGTCGGCTCAGCAGGAGCACGGGACTGAGAACAAAATTTCCGGGCACGCCGCGCACACACTCCGGTGGGGCACCGGGGAAGGGGGCTTGGGGAAAGCGTCACATTTGGGGGCAACCGGCTGGGGACCCCCGCGAGGTCGAGGGTCCTTCTATGGGACGCTGCAGGCAGGCTTAGAGGTCCGGACACGAGACCCCCTGGGGGGGCAGGGTGAAGCGCGCTCCGCGTCCGCAACTTAGGGCGGGCGAGGCACCAATGTGGCTCGGGATGGGGGATGCCGCCGATCGTGGGACCCAGGCTGAGCCCAGGCTGAGATCGAAAAAGAAAGTTTGCTTGTTTGTCTCTCTCATTCTCCTTCGGCCTGTGGGGCAGATTGCTGCCGCCCTCGGGCGCAGGCGCCCCGGCGCCCCGAAACAGCCCATCTTTTCCTGCCGTCTCCGTTTTCCGGAGGGAGGTGTGGGAGGGGAGGGCTGGGAAGGAGACGCTCTGTCGTG